ATGAGGGAGAACATATGATTTTTGGTCTTTTGGGCCAGGCCAACCTCACTCAGAATGATGTTCTCCAATTCCATCCATTTACCAGCGAATGATAACATTTCGTTCTTCTTCATGGCTGCATAAAATTCCATTGTGTATAGATACATTTTCTTAATCCATTCGTCGGTGGTGGGGCATCTTGGCTGTTTCCATAACTTGGCTATTGTGAATAGTGCCGCAATAAACATGGATGTGCAGGTGCCTCTGGAGTAACCTGTGTCACAGTCTTTTGGGTATATCCCCAAGAGTGGTATTGCTGGATCAAATGGTAGATCAATGTCTAGCTTTTTAAGTAGCCTCCAAATTTTTTTCCAGAGTGGTTGTACTAGTCTACATTCCCACCAACAGTGTAAGAGGGTTCCTTTTTCCCCCGCATCCTCGCCAACACCTGTTGGTGGTGATGTTGCTGATGATGGCTATTCTAACAGGGGTGAGGTGGAATCTTAGTGTGGTTTTAATTTGCATTTCCTTTATTGCTAGAGATGGTGAGCATTTTTTCATGTGTTTTTTGGCCACTTGAATTTCTTCTTTTGAGAAAGTTCTGTTTAGTTCACTTGCTCATTTCTTTATTGGTTCATTTGTTTTAGGAGAATTTAGTTTTTTAAGTTCCGTATATATTCTGGTTATCAGTCCTTTGTCTGATGTATAGCTGGCAAATATTTTCTCCCACTCTGTGGGTGTTCTCTTCAGTTTAGAGACCATTTATTTTGATGAACAGAAGCTTTTTAGTTTTATGAGGTCCCATTTATCTATGCTATCTCTTAGCTGCTGTGCTGCTGGGGTTTCGTTGAGAAAGTTCTTACCTATACCTACTAACTCCAGAGTATTTCCTACTCTTTCCTGTATCAACTTTAGAGTTTGTGGTCTGATATTAAGATCCTTGATCCATTTTGAGTTAATATTGGTATAGGGTGATATATAGGGTGATATATACGTGGATCTAGTTTCAGTTTTTTGCAGACTGCTAACCAGTTTTCCCAGCAGTTTTTGTTGAAGAGGCTGCTATTTCTGATTCTAAAGGCCCAGCGCTTTCTATCACTCCTTGCTGTGAGGCTGACCAGTTCTACACTCAGCTGACCTGGGATCAGCCTGTCCATCCCGTGTCTCCACCTACGAGCTTCTTTGATGAAACCATGCACACACAGCATGAGTTCACAGATTACCAACTCCATCCTGGGAATGGTGCTGCCTTGACTTGGCTCCCAATAGTGAAAGCTGAAACTTTTCAAACATGGTAGCCACAGTTTTTTAGTGATATTTTTGACAAAGTTTCTTCCACAGATGCTAGTAAAAAGTTTCCCAAGGCATGTCTAAAATGATAACCACATTTGACACTGTGCTTAGCATGATTCTGCTAAGGCTGGAAGGTTCTGGGACCTTCCAAAAATAGAGAGAAATCATAGCCTAGCAAGGAGGCATAGAGCACTAAACCCGGCTCTGTCCACCACTAGCTGTGTGACATTGCATGCCATTCTCTCTTGGGGCCTCAGTCTTTCCATCTACAAGATGGCAATGTTGACTTAACACTGTCTCAGCCCAACTGAAGCCTGAAAAATTGTGAGAAATGAAGGCATGCCCCATGGGGTTGTAACAGGTGCTTTTTTTTACTAGTCACCCTCCTGGTTCTCCTATCTCTGTACCCCACTTCCTTGTCTTGCTCCCACATAAAAAGATCTCATCAAAATATTGGCTTAGCTTTGAAGTCTATAAGAGCCCCTTGCTGCTCCTTAGAATGTAGATTCAAGAAGCATGAGTCTGACCCCTTTACTTCTGCTCCTGGAACTAGAAATGACATTGTTTTTAGCACTCCCCATGCCTAATCTTCCAGTATATCTAGAGACAAACTATGCAAAAAAAAAATTCAAAATTACTCTATTTTTTAAATTTTGTGTTTTCTTTTTAATGATAATCTTATGACTGACATAGCAGCTTATCTCCCTGACATGGACAGTACATACTTAAAAAGAAGATACGTACTGCTAATGCCTCAATGAGAACATGCCCCATCTCCTCTGAAGCCTTCCATTAGAAATTCTGAATGCCAAACCAGAACAGACTTTTGCATTGTTCTTGTCCCATTCTATACGATGATTTTTTAAAGCGAATGGGTACTTATTATTTGTAGGTTTTAGACACTGTCTACAGTTCATTGGCAATGTAATATATTATAACAAAGGACTTTCTGCAAGGTACTCTTGATTCTAACTCCATGCAAAGCCTGAGGAAGTTTTCCTAGTTGGTTTGGTAATTATACAAAAATTCATTTCAGTGTGGAAATTTAACCAACTTTCCAAACTGTTTGAATGTACCCTGATAGAGTCTGATTAGACAGCTAAGTCAGCCACTGAAAGGAACAAGACCAATACTTTGTTAGGAAAATAGATATAAGTAGGCAGGGTTCAGTGGCTCAAATCTGTAATCCTAGCTCCTCTGGAAACAGAGGTCTGGAAGATAGTGGTTCAAAGCCAGCTGGAGTAAAAAGTTTGTGAAAACCCTCCCCTGTCTCAACCAATAAATGTTAGAGATGGTGGTGTGTGCCTGTCATCCCAGATACATGGGAGGTATGAATAGTATGGCTGGAGTGGTAGAGTGCCTGCCTAGCAAGCATGGACCCTGAGTTCAACCTCTAGTACCAACAAAAATAATTACTTCAGGAAAACTGAAATCAGTATTCATTGTCAAAGTTGGACCCAAAAATCATAGGGACCACCTACAGGAAGATGCCAAACCAAAGGGGATCAGGCAAAGATGCTGCCAGTGGTGAAAGCTGAGGAGGTCTCAGAGATGGAGAGATCACATTGAGACCTCTACCCAGTATTTCCAGGTTCTTGTTACCACACAGAAAGAATTCAGAGATAAGTAAAGAATTGGGAGGAAGTTTTATTACAGAGCAAAAGTATACACTTCAAACGGGGTGTGGGCTTCTCAAGAGAGAGTCACATCATCTAGGATTTTGGAGAGTTTGTCTATGGTCAAACTTCAGTGAAGGGGAGGATTATTGGTGAGTTAAGGTGGAGAAAAGGCAGTGAATTCTAGGAGTTTTGGGGATTTATCTGGAATAGGGGTTTTCCCCCTTTTTTGTCTGTATGGGGTTTTTAATGAGCTGAAGCATCAGATGCATTATGGGAACAGCCAATTCTGCAAGGGTAACAACAAGGACATGCCATCATAATAAGGCAAAGAATGGTTAGTGTCATCTTGGGAGACCATGTTGGTCCAGTGGTTTTGGTTGGTCTTGTTTTCTACTGTTTGAATGGGTACATGATGTCCTGCTATAATACAGCTGTGTGGTTGCATCAGCACCCAGTCACCATACAGTTTGCATCTTTTTTCCCTATACCTATCTAGCTTACTTCAGAGATGCAAAAAAGACATCTGAGTAAAGGGTTATACTAGTCAGGATAGGCCGAAATGTCAATTAAGTTACAGAAACAAACAACCCCCAAATCTCACAACAAAAAGTTTGTTTCTGACTAACATTATGAACAGACATGGGAAGGTGAAGGACTGCTCCACCCAGTTACTCAGGGACACAAACCAGGGTCTACTTTGCCATTCATAGCTGCATGAAGGATAGAACATGAAGGACATGGATTTTTCATGCTCTGCCTAGAAAAGGAAGTACTTCCTCTTACATTTCACTAGCCAGACCCAGTCATGTGACCCAACCTAACCGCAGAGGTTGCTGGGAAGTGTAGTCTTCCTTGTGGCCAGAAGGAGAGGAACACCAGATATTAGTAAACACAAGTAATGACTGCCAAACATTCTAGAATCGGGGCTTTGAGGTGGGGCAGATAGCATCACAACCCCACTCTCCTCGAGGTGAGCTCTAGGGATATCAATAGATTTTGGACAAAGTTCTTAGGACTTTTACAGTACCAGGAAAGAGTTATCTTTTAATTGTTCTTCTGTTCTATTGTTTTAATATTCTAGGAATTCTATAATTTTATCGTTATCTATAAATCTTTTCTTTAGTAAAATTATGTGAACTTTAGCTATGAATTTTCTCATTATCTTCATCATTAAGGGAGTCTAAAGAATTGGTTACTTATAGACCCTAAATTCCCACCTTTGGTAAAGTCAAGCCACACAGCATGTACTCCTAGTTTCACAATTGTTTGTAAGATTGAGGATCAGGGACTGGAAAGGGGTGGATGACTTTGCAGTTTTTTAAATTAAGGTTCTAAATCATCCTTCTACCTTCTCTCTCCTTTGGTTCACATTTTTAAAAAGTTTTAAACTTTTCCTTACCTTATCTTCCTCCTATTCATGAGTAAGACATGAGATAATATCATTTTATCTAGCTGCATTATTATCACAATTTCCTATCAGAATGGAAGGTTTCTTTTATTTGGGTTTAGTTTCACTGTCTGTAAAACAGGGATAATCAAACCTACCTCACAGAGTGGTTGTGAGAATTAGTGAAATGAAAGAGGGGGAGAGACTTTGGGGAGTAAGAGTCAGAACTGTTTAGAGTCACGTACATTTTTTGAGATAAGGCTGGTCTCACTGTTATCCAAAACTCAGAAACTAAATCAATACAGATGCAGTAACAGGAAATACAGAAACATGTAAAGCACTTGGCATTGTTCCTGGTACACAGAAGCCCTCTGTCGTGTCAACATTTGGGTCACCATACAGTGACTGTTATCCCAATGCCATCACTTCCAACAGTACTATGATTATTTTAAGCCTTTGTTTTAGTGAATCAGACTCTGGTTATGGAAATAGTTCTCTTCTCCAGGGATTTTTTTTTTCCAGAACATAAGAGTATACTTTAGATTCTTGTCCTGGAACACAGCCTGACTTCTCTTCCTCTTTTCACCTCCCTTCTTTTTTCTTTTTGCAGTACTTTCTGGGAATGGCAACCATGGTAGCATACAGAATGCTTAATCCTGCTTTTTTATTACATCAAAGCTTTCAATAGTGTCATTACTTTCATTTTCTTTTATGAATTGCAGTGCCGGTGGCAGATATCAAAGCTGTGGTGACGGGAAAGGACTGCCCTCATATGAAAGAGAAAGGTGCCCTTAAACAAAACAAGGTATGCTTTCTAAATTATTGCAAATAGTTCTATCTGCACAATGGGTCAGTGGCTCATCCAAGCCCTCACTTATAGTGTGTGTGTGCTGCACAAAGTTGCACATTCAGTTCTCCTTTTTAATTTCCTAACTCATTTTGTCTCTTACCCTGGTTCTTTGTCTCCCTGACCTCTTTTCTAATGTTCACTGACTCGTCCATTCTCTCACTTCCTGTTACCTCCATCCCCAGGAATTACCATGGCTCTTCTCACCCTGTCTTCTCTTGAACCCTGTCCATTGTGCAAGCCTCTCCTAACCTGTTTATGTTCATTTCTCCATTACCCAATCACCTCCACAGTAACTTCACTGGAGTCCCAGGGAAGCCTAGGGCAGACAGAGACCAGCTGATACAAAGAATCTTGGAAAACTTTAAGGACTCATATCCTTCACCATTATGAAAAGTAGGCTGCGAAGTATCTCAAATCCAGCTCAAAAGAGAAAATTTTCCAAGAGGTTTATGTCCCTAAAGCTTCTTCACATTGCAACTTTTCTCACTATTCCCCTCTGTTTTACTAACTAGTTGTCACCATGATGGCCTATGTTCTTTTGCATAAGGTACAGGAGGGGACATTATCTGGAAAGACAGAAGAATTTCCTTTGCTTCTAGTTTGGAATATGTGCCCTCAGAGGGGCGATCAGGGAGCTAGTTCTTTGCTTATATCTTTTGGCATTTTGTGATATATACCTTCCATGAACAAATGAAAATGGATTTAGGCAGATGTAGTGGCAAATTTCTGGAATCCCAGAATTTTGGAAGCTGAGATAGGAAGATAGAGAGTTCAAGAGCAACCTGGGCTATATTGTGAGCTTGATGCCAGCCTGGATGATATAGCAAGACCTTGTCTCAAAAAGAAAAAGTACCCAGATTTATCTGGCTTTTCCAGATATCTCAGTGCCAGAAATGTCACATGGATCAATAAGTTGCTCTTTGTTTTCAACATCGGTATCTAAGAAGAACACCAAAATTATATACACCCCACTTATCAATCAGAGTTAAAATAATAGTGCTTGCTCTATAATCCCACATGTTTTAATAATCCAGGTCCTTGCAGGATGACCCTATCTATGCTTAAGGTAGGGAAAGTACTGTGAGAGTATTATTTAGTAAGACAGAACGGAGGAATACAGACATGGAAGCTGATTGCAAGATCTTTTCTTCTTAAATCACATAAGTATGGTTCATCTTCAAGCCCATGTGCGTTCCTTCTTTGGTCACCACACTAACACATACTGTGTCTAAATGGCAAGAATAGTGATATAAGAGCATGCCTGAGAGGCATAAGAGGTCTGAGAGTTATCTGTTATATAGCACCTGTGGGGATCTCTTTTCCCCATGATGTAGGAGACAAGGATTGCACAGCTCATCTGATTGCAAGGAACATTCTTGACTATAGCAGCAAGTCCCCAGCTTTCATAGTTTGCCTCTTGTGGAGCTGACTTCCTTCAACAACATCAACATCAGAGATTACCATATGCTCCATATGTCAGGTGTTCCCTCCACAATCTCATAGAGCACTGGCTGTGCTCAGCAGCAGCTGAGTTCCCCCCCCATTATATAATCCTGGGACCTGAGAAGGAAACAATGTGGGGGAAAATTGACAGCAACAAGAGTGTAACCCAGCAAATGCCAGGAGTGGTAGGCTCAGGACTTAAGCATGCTAAGAAGGGACAGAGAATGATGTAAAATAGGTTCAGAAAGACTTCCTGTTTCAGCCCAACGTGTAAAGAGCTTGACAGCTGTCACTCAGGTCCATGTAGTAAGAAACTAAGTAGAGAGGAAATCATCATCTGTTCTTGATCCTATCAGACAAACTGTCATCCTGGAACACAGAGTGTCAGGGACATCAAGAAAGTCACAACCAAAATCTGCTTACCAGAGGAGCCCTAAACTATAGGAGCATGCTTGGCATTTTTGATGAATTGCTTGCTATATGCTGAGCATGGACTAGTGTTAGAACAAAAAACTCTAAGAAGAGCTGGTAGAGTGGCTCAAAAGGTAAGAGCACCCACCTAGCACGTGTGAGGCCTTGAGTTCAAACCCCAGTGCTGCCAAGAGAGAGAGAGAGAAATTCCAAGAAGATATAGTCTTGGAGAAGGAAAGGAAATACTTTCATGGATTCCAGAAACCTCATCAGGTTTTGAGAAAGATCCCTTACTACTGTAGAAGAGTAACAATAAAATATGCCAGAATCTTCTTCATAACAGAATCCTATTCTTCAGGCTGTTATAAGAACTAGAAGAAAAGAATTCCTCTGATTCCAGCCCCTTTTAGCATCCCCTTCTCAACTGTGGGGTTGAAGGTGAGGAAGAAATAATCAATAGTGGTGTGGGCCTCAAAGCAATTGTTTGGGAATTCTGCAACTGGGAAAAGAAGGAGGGGACAGGAGAAATAAACGTGTACTACTGGAGAAACTCTTAAGAAGGTAACATCCTAAGACACAAGACCCCTAAAAGATCGAGGCTTAATTGGAAGGTTATAAAATGCTATACCTCCCCCACACCTCACCACCATATCAGCAAGAGTCCAAAATAATAACAGTGAACAGTGAATTATAGCTAAAAGATATGCAAAATACAGACTCTGAAGAGGAATACTCAAGTAAGCCAAAGTCAATAAAGCAGATAAAAACAAGGATAGTGGAGAATTTGTTAGCACTTATAGTTACCACAAACATCAAACATAGCCCAATTCCTTGCCAGATTAACATAAATTGTCACTCTAAAAGCCTGTTTATCTCACTTCTTATTACCTGATGGAACATGTCTAGATTTCATCAAAAAAATGAGAGGAATGCCAAAAAGAAAAAGTAAAAACAAGATAAAAACCAGGATCAGAAGAAGAAAAGCAATCATCAGAGGCAGGCTCCCAATATGACACAAATACTGCAATTGTCAGATGGGGAATTTAAAATAACTGTCATTAAAAATGTTTTTGGCCCTAATGGAAAAGGTGGACATCATGCAAGGAGTGTTAAAAGGATTGGTTCACTCAGAATGAAAGTGATATAGAGCAGAAACTTGGATCTACATAAAGAAGGAAAGCAAATCAGAGAAAGAATAAGTGAAGATGAAATAAAAATGCTAATTTTTATTGTTAATCCATCTAAAAGATAACTATTCTTTGTTTAAGATCATAACAGTGTGTTGGATGATAAAAGCATATGGATAAGTGAAATGAATGACAGCAAAGTTACAAAGGACAAGGAGGAAATGGGATACTCAATTAACAAAGAAAGGGCTGACAGAGTGGCTCAAGTGGTAGAACACCTGCCTGCTGTGCATGAGACCCTGAGTTCAAGTCCCAGTACCTAAAAAAAAAAAGACAAAAGGGAGAAATTCCACAAAGAACAAGTAACAAATAGAAGAGTTCCCAATATATACATATTAATCATACTAATCAATAATCACTTTAAATACAAATGGCCTAAACACATCAACTAAATGATAGAGATTTTCAAACTGATTTAAAAAAAAGAGCTAATATGTTGTTTACAAGAAGCCCACTTTAAATACAAGACTAAGATGGGTTTAAAAGTAATGGGATGAGGAGAAATACCATGCTAAAATTAATCAAAAGAAAGCTAGAGTAGCTTATTAATTTCAGACAAATCAGACTTCAGAACAAAGAAAATTTTCAAGGGGTCAATTCTGCAAGAAGATACAATAACCTTACACATGTATGAACTTAACCGGAAGGCACCAAAATACATGAGTGGTGAAGGTGATAGAACTGAATGGAGAAATAGACAAATCCATTATTATATTGGAGAAATCACCATCCCTCTCCCAGTAATCAATAGCTCAAGCAGGCAGAAAATCAAAAAGAATATTGATGAGTTGGACAGCAGTATCAATCAATTTGATCTAATTGACATTAATAGAATAATCTACCCAACAAACAGCAAAATGCATATTCTTCTTAAGCTCACAGTTAATGTTACCAAAGTTTTAGGGCAAAATGTCCTTTCCAGTAATTTCAACAGACTAGACTCTGCCACTCATCCTAATATGTCAATCAAAGAGTGATCTTGGGCAGAAAAGATTCAATCATTGTGGCCATGTTGGGAAGAACAGACAAAGGAGTTACGTGACCCAAGTCCTTCTTCAAGGGAAGAAGAAAAGGGAAACAACGGAGGGAGTTAGATATGCATAGCTGACATTAACAGGTAATCTTGGTTAGGTTAATGGTCCAACTGATCAGGTTCTGGAAAAATTGTCACTGTCATCACGTGAGTAAAGCAATCTGTTTCCCATGAGATGATTTCTCCTGTTCTGGGATGCAGCCTCACCATCATGGATAATTACCCTCATTTGCTGGGAGAGGATGGTGATCTGTCTTACGTGGTTTGCTCTTACTTAGGAGTATTTTTAGTCCCTTGTCATAGAGATGTTTATCGATCAGTTCTGTCATTCTTGGATTCCAAGGTAATTGCAGAAGAGAGTAACTCAGGAGGAAAAAGTTAAAAGAGGCAAAAATAAAGCCAGAGAGGGACAAAATAGAGTTTGTCCAATGACTGTGCTCTCCTTCATAATCACATGCTGGACCATAAGACACGTCTTAAAATAAGAATAACAATCTTACAAAGTATATTCTCAGATCACACTAAAATAAACCAAAACTCAGTATCAGAAAGATAGCTGCAGATCCCCCCAGCATTTGGAAATGTAGCAATATACTTATAAATAACCCATAATTTAAAGTAATCTTAAGAGAAATCATAACATTTTAAATTAAGTAAAATTAAAATACCACTTATCAAAATATAGAGGACGCAGCGAAAGCAGTGCTTATTGAGAAAATTTATCACATTCAGCGTATGTACCAGAAAAAAAGATCTGAAATCATTCAAGTTTCTACCTTAGGACACTAGAGAAAAAAAGTAATTTAAACCTAAAGCAAGCAAAAGAAAAGAAGTAATAAAAATTAGAGAATAAATTATTGAAACTTAAGGCAGGAAAACAG